TTATTTTTCCTCCTCACTTTTTGCTTCCTATTTCGTTAAATTGAAATTTATTTTATGATTAAAATTAAAATTTATTTTAATTTATTCAGTGACTAAATTATAATAATAATAATAATAATAATAATTATAATAATAATTTTTCGCAGAAATTAAATAATATTTTAATAAAATTTTTCGAATGAATAAAAATTAACTTATAAAATTTTGATAAAATGTTTTACACAAGAATTCAATTATTTTCATAAATAATAAATTTCTTTGCATTAATTCAATTATTTTCAGCACAATTTTTATAAAAATTCTCAAACGAATTCGATTATTTTCAAAAATTGTAATAAAATTCTGTGAAGATTTCAATTACAATTCCAACAAATTTTAATAAAATTTTTCATTACTATAATTAACAAACACGATTATTTTAAAAACTTCAAAGGAATTCTTTGTGAAATTCAATTACCTTCAAAATTTTCATTTAAAATTATTAAAGAAAATTAACATTATTCTCAAAATACTTAAAAAATGTCTTCAAAAGAATTTAAATTTTTACGAAAACTATGATAAAATTGGTAAAAATTTAAGAAGTTTGATAATTAATTTAAGAATAAAATTACTAATTACAATTATTAACAAAATTGATTATTTAAAAAAAATTTTAAAAATGCTTTTCACAGAAAGAATTCACAAAAAGAATTCCATTATTTTCATAAATAATACAATTTTTAACGAGAATTCAATTATTTAAAAAAAATTGTAATAAAATTCTTCCCAAGAATTTAATTATTATTGTAAAAAATAGAATTCTTCTCGGGAATTCAATTCCTTTTTAAATACAATTTTAATAAAATATCTTGAAAGAGTTCCATTATTTTTTAAATTAGAATAAAATTCTTCAAAGGAATTCAATAATTTTCAAAAATTTTAAATTCTTCGCAAGAATTAAATGATTTTGTTTAAATTTTACATATATTTAATAAATTTAATTATTCGTTGGAAAATTTTCGTATTAAATCTTTTCTTCTCGACTTTTTTCTCATCAAATTCTACAAAACTATTTTTTCTATTAAAATTTCTATTGCTTATTTTTAGTTTCTCTTCTTTATTTAAAAAAATACTAGAATTTCTTATTTAAAATAAAATCCAAAATTTGTTCCATAAATACCTCGAATGAAGAAAAATGAAGAGAAACTGAACGAATATTAAAAGAAAATTGCAATAAAAAATAAAAGACTTTTTTTCTTGTAAAATAATTGGTCATTGTATTTTGTAATTAAATAAATAAATAATTGGTCATTGTATTTTCTAATTTAATGCAATGCTTTTTGTTGAATTTTTCTCATCAATTTAAAAAAAAAATTTTCTTCAATTCCAATTTTCACTGACAATTTTTGTTTCCTTTTTTTAAACAATACTAGAATTTTTTGTTTAAGATGAAATTTAAAATTCGTTCCATAAATTCTTCGAAATTATCCCAAATGAAAAAACTTGAGCGAATATTTAAACAAAATTACAGTTAAAATTAAAAAAGAATTAATTTCTTTCATTTTTATTTAGTATTTTTAAAAAAATAAAATTCCTCGTTAACGAAATAGACAAAATCGATAATTAAAAAATCAGAAAAATTACAAAAAGAAATTGAATAAAAAAACAGATACGATAAAATTGAAAAACGGAAATTAAAATAAATAAAAAAAGATTATAAGATTTAAAAAGAAGAAAGCAATAAAAAAATAAAAAGTAATAAAATATTAAATAGTAGTAGAATTTATTTCTCGGTAAAAAAAGTAACAGAAAAATTAGAAAAAAGAAAAATAAAAAATAGAGGAAAAATAACAGTAAAAAAATGGAACAAAGTAAAAAAAATTAGTGAAATTTAACAAAAGAAGAGCTTTTTGAAGCGCTTTTCGTAAAAAATTTGTCAGGAATAAAGAAGCACGTTTTGACAGTAAAACAAAAATAAATAAAAAAGCAGCTATTAATGTCTGATTCTACCATTTTGAAACATTTTTCATAGGTGTGTTTGTGTGACTCCTTTTTTTTTTAGATAAAATGTACTTACATTTATTCCTTTTTTTTAATTCTACCTTTACCTAATAATAATCGATTTTTTTATATATAAATAGTATAAAGCTTACTAGTAGGCTCTTGTTATTATAATATTTTAAACGTAATTATCATTATAGTTTTCTTTCTTTTCATGTTTTTCTGTCTCTCATTAATTATTTTTTTATTTTTTTATTTTTTTTTGGTAATCTATTTTTGTTTTAATTTTTGTTCACATTATTTAGTGCTTGGTACAACGCGATATTCTTCGATATATATTTTTTTATATACATATATCTTATTACATTGCGCTTCCACGAAATAAGGAAGAAGAAAGTCAACCCCTTCGATTTCATATATAAGACTTGGCGACTTTGTCGTCGGAGTCTGCGCGACCTTCTGCGTAATTCGATTTCGATAAACGGGCAACGGCGGCTTCCCTTCTCTTGATTAACCCAAGTCCATCGAACGTAATCGGTCTCGTCGTGTCCCGGATAATTAGGATTTTTCAAATCCTCTAATCTTCCTTTTCGTGTTTCCTTATTTAATTATCATTATATTTTTTTCCACATTTTTTCTTCCTTCTTCTTGTTTTTTTTTTTTTACTTTTAATTCCAAGGAACGAAAAAAATCTACCACTTTTTTTTTCCAAAAAAATAATAAAGAAAAAAAGAAACCAGTCTTTTGAAATGTCCAGGTTTCACCCAAGAAAAAGTGGGTTATTCAAACATGAGTCTCGGTAAAAAGGCGGTTTGATTCCGTAGAATTTTTTTTTCAGTTTTTTCGTTTTTTTTAAGAGTGAGAAAGGAAAGATACTTTTTTTTTGTTCAATTTTCACAAGGGGGGAGGGGGGGGATTTATAAAAATCGACGTCTATTTTTTTAGTATATATAAAATTTACTTATATATGTAAAATTGTGTTTTTGAAAAATGTTGGTGCGAAAAAATTAAAGAAATATTTTTTTTTTTGGGGGGGGAGGGAAAAATTTCTCTAAAAAACGCTCGATGGAATATAGGTTTGATTTTTTTTTGAAAAATTTGCTCGAAATCGAATGCCTTGTCTTAAAAATTTAACGCCTTTGACTAATTACAGTATTACAATTAATTATTAGTTTTTTTTATTTTATTTTCTTTTTTTTTTCTTTGGTTTTATTAATAATCGTAGATTAGCAGTTACTTTTATAACGTTCACTTATATTTATAATTATTTATATATATACTTTTTTTTTCTCCCCGTCATTATATGGTCGTGCGAGAAAGTCTATTTTAAGTCAACTGCCTTTCGAGAGCTTTCGCCAAGATCAGGTGTCATCGATCGATCTTGTATTATTTTCTCTAGTGCTCGATTAATTCAGGAGCGTCTGAATCTCATCCTATCGTCGATGCGTCGATTTTTTTAAATTTTTTTTTGGTTTTTTTCTGTTTTTTTTTAATCTCCTACCTATTGAATTTTTAAGAAGCCCCTTTTTCGGAACGGCACCCCGCAGACGACTTTTTTTTTATTTTCAATATTTGTTTTTTTCTCTAAAGGAAAAATTCCTATTTTTTGTAATTGTTCGTCAAATTTCCCTCTTTTTGAAAAATGTTTGATAAAATTCTTCGAAATAATTCAATTATAGTCAAAAATTTGGAATTTAACATTAAAAAGAGGGAAAATTTTTCTTTAGTTTAAAATTCAAATTTTATTGGAGAAAGTACAAAATTTTTTAATTATTGACTCAAGAAAAATTTACCTTTAATAAATAACGAAACTTAGGAATTTAATTTCAAAGAAAAAAGAAATTTTCCACTCTTTCAAATTCCAATTTTTTTGGAGAAAGATTTTCAACTTATTGGCACAAAAAAATCTCTTTTAAGTTGACAAAAAAAATCAGGAATTTAATTTTAAAAAGAGGGAACATTTTTCATTGTTAAAAATTTCATTTTTTGGAGAAAGTATAAAATTTTTTACTTATTGGCTCAAGAAAAATTTACTTTTAGTAAATAAGAAAAATTAGGAATTTAATTTTAAAAAGAAGGAAAGATTCTCCACTACTAACAAATTTCAATTTTTGGAGAAAGTATAATGTTGTTTACTTATTAGCTCGAGAAAAATTTTTATTAACTAAGAAAAATTAGGATTTTAATTTGAAAAAAAGGAAAATTTTCCAACTGCTAACAATTCCAATTTTTGGAGAAAGTATAAAATTTTTACTTGGCTCAAGAAAAATTTAATTTTAACTTAACAACAAAAAATAGAAATTGAATTTCAAAAAGAGAAAAAATTTTCCACTGTTAGAATTTCAATTCTTTTGAAAAAAGTATTAAATTCACTTGTCGGGACAAAAAAATTTACTTTTAGTTAATAACAAATATCAGAATTTTAATTTGAAAATGAGGAAAAATTTTCCAATGTTAAAAATTCCAATTCTTTCGAAAAAAGTATAAAACTTTTCACTTGTTGCCAATTTTTTTAATTAACTATTAATTATTATTAATACTTAATAATTATTAATTTACAAATTTTTCAATTTTGAATTCGAATTAAATTTACTTTGTAAATTAATTAATTTAGAATTTAGAAAGTAAATTTATTTCGAAATCAAAATTTAAAAGTAATAAATAATTGGAAAGTATTTTTCTTTTGTCAATTTTTCATTTTACTATTGAATTTTAATTCCTTAGAATGCATTTGATTGAAAGTAGAGAAAAAAAAAAATTGAAAGTGTTTGATTTAGAGGGAAAAAAGAAGAAGAAATAAATAAAAATAAAATAAAAAAACTCGAGGAAGTACTCACAAATTGAGTCTGGGTAAAATTCAATTTCACTTGAGCCAATTTAGTGGTTTCTCGCCATATCTCCCTGAATCCAGTCTCTCCATTTTTCTCCTCTTCTCAAGATTCTTTACTTTCATTCTCATTTGCAAAAAATTTCCTTCAATTTTCAACGCACGCTTTTCTCCTGATTTCTTTTTCTTTTCATCTTTTTCTTCCTTTTTTTCTCCTTCTCGAAAAGAACAAATTTCGATTCTTATTATCGATAATTTTCAATTTTCAATCAAATTTTATCCCTTGATTCCAATGAAAGAATTTGTTTCATTTTATTTCTTTTTCCTTACTATTTCCTTTTACCCCCGTTTTTTTTTGTCTTTTTTCCTTTTTAGCCTTTTTTCTCCTTTTCTCCCTTTTTTCCCCTTTCGTTTCAATTAGTGATGGAAATTAAATTTTTTCCTGGTGTAAAATTGAGAAATTGTCTCAGGGCTGTAAATTTTCAAAAATCGTTTAATTTTCTTCAATTTTTTTTTCCCAGTTTTTTCTCTCTCTCTCTCTCTCAAAAAGAATTGCGTGGCGAATTAATGATGATATGTCTGCTTTGTAGTTCGTTGCGGGACGATCAATAATAATAGTAATAATTTTGGTTCCGGACCGAGTTGAGGGACTTTTTTTTCCATTATTTTTTTTCTTCTTTTTTTTTTTTGCCTAGCTACCGAATATGACAGCGATTTGACTTGTGAGCTAGACGAAGCCTCTTGTATTTAGAAGCGTTGTGTCTGGTATCATTGTAAAGATGAGAACGAGTGCGACATTCAAAATTAAAAGAAGAGAGTAAAAGCTCGTCTCGCGCCTCAACTGAGAACTCGAACCGCTGCATGTCTCCTTTGAATCAAGTTTCGCTGCAACAAAAAGAAAAATTACAAATTAATTATTTATTTTCGCAAACTCTTTTAATATTTATAATTTTATTTATTTATTCATTTATTTATTATAAATATAAGTTTATTATCATATTTTTAATATAATTTAAATTTTGTTGTTTATTGAAAACATACAAAAAAATTGTACATAAGTAAAATGTAAATAAAAAATAAAATATAAATTGAAATAAGAAAATTTAATTTTTTTTACTTTAAGAATAACTTGACACAAAAAAAGGTAAAAAAAAAACGAAACTAGTTTTTCAATAGTTTAATAAAAAAGTTTCCATTGAATTAAATTGCTTTAAATTTAATAAATTAATAACATAATATTATCAGAATTATTATAATTCATTGAATATTAATGAATATACGTGTATCAATGTAATATAATATTAATAATAAATAAATTTCATTTATGTAGGTAAACGAAAAAGCAAAGTTGAACATATTTTTTATTCGGACGTCATTCAAAGTGATTTCTAAGAGAAGATTTTCTCTTTCTCTTTGATGTGTAATTTATTAATCGGATATACTCGTCAAAGGTGGCATTAACTTGAAATATTTCTCTATGGAAATTTTTTTTTATATTAAAAAAAAGAGAACAAAATATAATCCATTGAAAGGAAGAATTAATTCCATAAAATGATGTATTAAATATTTTTCAATATATTTTTTTACTATTTTTTAAATATTTTTACTATTTCTTTTATAGTTTTCTACTATTCTTACTATTTTACAATTACTTTTTTACTTTAATTTTGTATTACTCTTATTATTTTTAATAAATAAACTCTTTTTTTAAACGATTTCAAATTTACTATTTTATTAATAATTTATTCAATCAACTTTTTAAATTTTTTTTCTAATTTCTAAATTAGCAAATTTTCTATTTTTAAATAAATAGGTACCTGTATATAAAATAAATAAAATAATTATTAAATAATAAATAATAATAAATAATAAATATTGTTTCATTCGAACACTAATATAATTACTTAAGTAATGAACAAATAATCGTTTTTTATATATAAACAATTTTTTATTATAGTAAAAAATTTTTTACTAAAAATCCCTTTTAAATGACGGTTTTGAAATTCTTAAATTTATTTATGAAAAGTATATGTACGTATAATAATTTAAATTATAGTGTGAAAAATATAACAAGGATATTAAAAATAAATTAATAAATGAAATAATATTTAATTAGTGTCTAAATTAAATAAATATTTAAATTAAAATTATTTTTAAAAAAATCAAACAATAATTAACAAATGTTAATAGTTATTAAGGACTGTTAGTAAATTATTTTAATAAATAAATAAAAATATTTTTATAAATACTACTTTCAACTGATTTATTAGGTATTAAAATTTACTAATTCAAAGTTAGAGAGACATTAATAAATTTTTTTGTTCAAAATGGATAAATAAAGAATAGATAATTATCAAGGGGCTGTCAGTAAATTATTTTAATAAATAAATAAATAAAAAAAAATAAAAAAAGGCTAAATATTAAAGAATGTTAATAAATTATTTTGATAAATAAATAAAAAGAATGAACATGAATGTAAAGGAACTTTAATCAATTATTTTGTAGGAAAAATAAATAAAATAAAAATGAATGAATCTAAACGAGCATTAATAAATTATTTCATTGCAAAGAGAAATAATATAAAAATAAATAATTATAAACGACAGTTAATAAATTATTTTCATACAAAAAAAACTTAATTTCATAAATAAATTCTAAACATTACAAAGTCTCATAAATGTTTCATCAAATAATTAAAAACTGAACATTCAGATGAGATTTATTAAAATAAAAAGAAGAAAAAAAAGTGAAGAACACAATAGTTATGCGCATAATACAAATGCAAAAATGGGAAAGAAACGCGAATTTCTTTTGAAAAATAATAATAGGATTCTTTTATGAGAATAATTTGCTAAAAATAGGCAACGTATTTAATTTTATAAAGCGAAATTAAAACGAGTTTGTAACAATGGATAAAATCAATATCGTTCTATTCCAGGTTCGCATCACGAGGAACAGAGAGAGAGAGAGAGAGAGAGAGAGGGAGAGTGAGTGAGAAGCTGAGAGTGATGTGCCAAAGGCAACAGCCCGATTTATTTTGACAGGCATCTCTCTCGTATACGTATATAGATAGACAGAAACTTGAAACTACAAACTGCAAACAACGTGGTTGCACATTTTATGCAGATTACGAGTTTCTATATTGTATATATAGGCAGTAAAGGGAGTTATAGCCTTCTATATAACTATCTCAAGTGCCTGTGAGTTCTTGCCGGTAATCCGGATACTGAGAAGATGATGCTTCACATTCGAAACTCGACTTTGCCTTGCGGATTACTCTCTCCTTCTCCCTCTCCCTCTCTCTCCCTCTCTCTCCTCTACTCATATGAAATCCACCGAATCAAAACCTGCTGCTTTTCATGTATTCAAAAATAACTGGATAAAATAACTTTAAACTCTTTTCATCTCAAAATAACGAAATTTATTCCATAATAACTGTATTTTCAACAATTTCATATCCAAACATTATATGTCTGATTTTCGAAAACATATTTCCTTTTCATTTTATTTCCACTCGTTATTGTTATTATATATATTCGGGAGAATTTACTTTTGTTTCACTCTTGTAAATTTTGTTTAAATATCAAACACTTCATTGAAATAGAAATTGAATGAAAAAAATAAACATTTAAAAAATTATTTTTAAAAATTTTTCCAGAAGATATTAATAATTTTCAGCAGTATAGGGTCTTCGTTCAGTCAGACTCCTTAATGAGAATAAATTAATTTGTTTACTGAATTAAATTAATTAATACAAAATAATATGCTTTGTTATAAATCATTTTCAGTAGAAGGATCTTCGTTTTGTCAGACGTTATTTAATAGGAATAAACAACTTTTTGGTAAAAAAATATTTTCATAAAAAATATTAATTAGTAAAAATTAATATTCTTTATTATAAATTATTCATAAAAAAAGAATAATAATTTTCACTAATTTATTTAATTTACCAAAAAACATAATTTATTCCTATTAAAATGTCTGACTAAATGAATATCCTACTACTGAAAATTATTTATAATAAAGATTATTTATTTTTACTATAATTAATTTAATTCATCAAAAAAATTAATTTATTCTCATTAAAGAGTCTTACTAAACGAAAGTCCTACTATTGAACTCACCACAGAGAAAAGCGAGTGTTGTTTTTGATGCGGGTAAATTTTGGTAGGGTAATTTTAGTGAGGATAAATTTTCTATAATAGAAAATTTACCTTATTTTCGGTGTTAAAATAACACTTCCGAGCTAAAGTTTGATGCAGACACTTTTAACACCGAATTCAGTGTTAAAATGACACTCACTTTTTTCTGTGACTATTTTCCTGCCTGAAAACTGAATTTTAATTATTATATTTGATGCACCTTAAAAAAAGGGAATTCAACTTTAACTTCAAACGAGATTCTATGTAAGTCGCCCTCTTTTAGACTTTTAAAGCATAAAAGAAGTAAAATTTTACTCCTCTTTTTTAAACTAAATATTGTCTGACTATACACATAGCTATACTACTGGTTTCTCATTTTAAATAAATTATAGCTAAGGAAAAGTAAAGAAGAAAAATCCTCGTCTTATACTACTTAAAATTCTAAGACTTTTGCAAAAGAGTTTTTAATTATTTCTCTAAGGTTTGACACAACATCGACCTACACTACTTAAAATTATATTTCTTAATAAAATTTAAACTCCCAACGAAAACTTTTCAAAATTATAAAGATTTGATTTTTATAAAACTATGAATAGAATATAAAATATAAAACTTCTATCTTGTCTGACAAAAAATGTACGTGTACTACTGGAAATTATATTTTACATATGTATGGAGTCAAAAAATTGGTTATAGAAATTTTATTTATTGTCTGACTGTCTAAGTGAAATTTTGTACTACTTAAGAGAGTTAAATTTTCTATAATATATTTTTGTTTATTTTCCTCGAGTTTGACGAAATACAGATTTATACTACTGAAAACTTTAAATAAATAAGTAAAAATTATTATTTACTGGTATTAGTGTCCAATTGCTGCGATTTATTATTACTCGTACAATCATTTCAATTTCAAAAAAAAAAAATTATACCTACTATATGAATCAAAAGTCGAAACAAGTGTGAAAATTTTATGTTGAGAGTTTAAGTTTTATTAGTATACAATTTTAAGTAGTGTAAGTCCGACTTGATCCAGACATTGAAAATTAAAATGAATTAAGTATACTTGATATTAACTTTACTTGGAAATTAAATAATAGGAAATATTTATTAACTTCTATCACGTCTGACTAAATACACATTTACACTACTGATTTCTTCTTTTTAATCAATTATAATACTAACGAAAAGTAACGATAGTCTAATACATATTTAAATTTTTCAGTTATTTAATTATTTCTTTAATGTCTGACCCAAAGATGATCTACACTACTTAAAATTATATTCTAATAAAATTTACAACTCAAACGTAAACTCTTCAAAACTGTATCTATTACTGATTTACGTTGTATTTGAAATATTTCAATTTTTCAATTTATTCATTAACTTCCATCATGTCTGATTAAAAACAAATATAAACTACTGAAAATTAAAATTAAATTACCAAAACAACAGATTTTGTTACAAAAGCCAATTGGATTTGTCAATTCTATTATACTAATAGTCCAATGGCAAATATGACAATTCCTTTTTTTCCCTGTAGTAAATAATAATTTTCCTGACGTCTGACTAAATACAGGTTTTGACTACTGAATAAATTAAGTAAAACTAATAATGTAAAAAAAATTCTTTAAAATTAAAAACTTTCACTATAGCTTTACATGTTATGTTTCGTACTATTTAGAATTACAAAGTTATTACAATATATTTTTATCTATTTTTGTGAAGTCTGACTGAATACAGACT